AGGGAAGGGAAGGGAAGGGAAGGGAAGGGAAGGGAAGGGAAGGGAAGGGAAGGGACCCACACAATCCAAGGGGGTTGCCAAAGGCCTTTATATGTCTTTATATGGTAAATAAATACTGAATTCATAAAAAAAAATCTACTACCTTCTACTTACCTCTCATATTGGTATTCATGCTGCCTCCTAAAGATCCATGCGAGTGTCCATGATTATGAGTGTGCCCATAGTCATTGTGGGAATGGCCATGGCCATGACTGTGGCTGTGATGGGAATGACTGTGCTCATGTGCATGGCATCCTCCTCGAGAAGGCCCATGGGAATGGGCGTGGCTAAAGGCACAGATACCAACAAGGTTTACTATCAATCCTCCAACTGAAACAGGCTGCATGAAGGAGAAAAACAAATCTTTACACTTTATTTACTCCCATTAACTATGCCTAAGAAAACAAGGAACCTAGTCTAGAGCAACTTCTCCAAGTTGTTATCCTCCATTGAAGTTGGCTTTACAGATTCCAGAATTCTTAACCAAAATAGGATGAATATATCTCAGTAAAAATATTAAGTTTTGTATTCAGAGAATCATGATGCTAAGGAAACTTAGCTCTCTCTGTTACTTAATTCCCAGGAATAAAGTATCTCTGATGCAAAGCTATAATCCTTAACTCTGCACAGCTAAGAAGCAGACAAAAGAATGCAAGACTGTATGCTTACAGTACTGCTATATATGAAATTCCTTAGCCATGTATGTTTACACCTCCATTGTTAATATTAATCAGAGTTTGATTTTAATTAGGATTTGAAATCAGCTAATTTCCATTAACTGTGGAAATAGTATATGGATGTACCCTTTGAGAACTCTTAAGATCAGCCAAGTCAAAATTGATGATTCATTTGATTTACAATGGCTGCTTAATCAAAATGCTTCAAGGTGGTGTTAAGGTGGGTTAAAAACATAATTAAAAGTAACAAAAGAAAACAATATAGGACTAAATACAACAATAACAGCACACTGGGGAATATGAAAAAATTCAAATAGCAACCATTCAAGCAGTTCACAAATTGCCCTGACCTAGGCACAGAAGGTATGTCATTAAACAAGCCTGAAAAGTATTAATATTCCTTGCCTTCTGTAAATGAGGATGCAGCTAAATCTCTTCCTATTTCAGAAGTAACTTAGATTTGGGGCCATAAGAGAAATGTAGAAGATCAGATCCCATCTATCACTGTATCATTCTGCCACTTGCTAACTTGCTTGTGTCCCAAGTTTTAGCACAGAGAAGACTGAACTTGGCAAGCTGTGAAACACTTGGTAATTTTTATTATTCAGATTCCTTTAAGCATTACACCTGAGAAACCGTGAGATAGATGTCACAATATATAGTTCAGCCTGGACAGAAAAGATTGGGCAGAATCAAGTTATATATTAGAAGAATGTATTTTTTAAGTATGGCAACCATTGCATACGGAGAATGAAGAATAACAGAATATTACACTATTATTATACATTCCTTAAAAGAGGCTCTTTATTCTTTATTGAGGGAAGGCAATCTATTAGGTTCTGTGGGTCACACAGACAGACATGCATTCTTCCCTTTGCTTATACAGGTAGTCCCCAGTTTAAGAATGAATTCCGTCCCCAAGGTCTGTCTTTAAGTCGAATTTGTATGTAAGACGGAACAGTATGATTATATAATACTGTATAAGTAGTATTGTGTAATGAACTTGAACCATTGTGTATTTAACTCGAATCACTGTGTAATTTAACTTGAATTTTGCTACCACTGGCTCCATTTTTAACCGGCTCCATTCTTAACTATGGGTCATCTGTAACCCGGGCATTCTTACCCCAGGGTACATGTAATTCTCCCCCCAACTTTCATCTAGTTCACTTGAGAATGCACAATTCTGAACCCTTTCACTGAGGCACAGTCAAGGCACTAGGTTTTATTTTTTCTCCAAGAGGACAAAACTGCTGCATTTTCTCTGCCAGTACCAACAACAGAATAACACCGTCCTTTTTTGCTACGAGGAAAGATGAAATCATGAGACTTCATGCCCATTTAGAGGCACTTCAATGCTACTCCACACAGAGGCAGTTGGATAACAGAGGCTCTGACATGTAAAGACTTTCCGAGTTACCAGCCTACACACTTCCCCCAGCCTTTTCTCTGAAGGAAAAGCACTTTTTAAAAAATTTAAGGATGAAAATTTTGAGTCCAACTAAGTGTTACTTATTGCCATTGTCATGAGAAACATCTATGAAATTAACAACATCAGCAATGCTTGAGGAAGTGAATTCTGTTTCTACTGAACTCGTAAAAATGCTTCAGAGCAGTACTCTTTAAGGTTATAGAAAACAAGGTTACAAACTTACAGTCAACATATTTGTATCTATATCTGGAGGATCAACCAGTCTGGCCACAGACTCAGTGAAGACAAAGAAAGCTATTACCATGAGAAAAAGGCCGTTAATAAAACCTGAGAGAATTTCCACACGGCCAAACCTGCAATTGAGAAAACAAGGAATAAAACTATAGACAAAATATACCATGATGTCCTGACTATGCTAAAATCCCAAACTATTCTGTTACAGAACCCAAGATTATAGGTAGTCCTCACTTAGCAACACTATTGGGATTAAAAACTCCACCGTTAAGTGATGCGGTCATAAGTCAAAAAACCATGTGACCGCACCGCTTAGCAATGGCAGTTCCAGCAGTCCCAGTTGTTGTCATTAAGCAAGGACCTCATGTGACCATGACTTGTGACTTCCTGCTCGCTTCCCCATTGATCTTGCTTGTCGGAAGCCGGTAGGGAAGGTTGCAAATCAAGATCATGTGACTGTAGGGATGCTGTGATGGCCATAAGCATGAGGACTGGTTATAACTACCACTCAAAGAAAAAGAATACAGCTGACCAGAAGACAGAACTAAAAACCAAAGAGGCTCAAACACCATCCTAACCCAAGGCCTTGGAGAGGAACCAGGTCTTTAACAATACATGGAAAAGCAAGAGGTGGGAGCAGTACTGATCTCCTTCTGGTTTGTAAACCATGGCTTAAAAAGCTTAGTGTCTTTTAACAACACAGCAAATTGTGATCTATTCAAAAACAATAAATCATTGTTTCCTTTAGTGTAAACTGAGCCTTTTCATTTATTCATGTTTATTTTGTGTAAGTTACCTGTCTTTTAGTCTCACAACTTTGTCTTCACATCTTTTAAAGAAATCTTTATAATTAGTTCAGTATACATACCCATAGGAAAATATACGGGTTGCTTTCCATCTAGTCATCAGCGCTGCGAAGAGACCCATAACTAAAGCTGAACAGTCAAAAAGCATGTGAAATCCATCCGAAATTAATCCCAGACTATTGGTCCACACACCATAAAATAATTCTATAAATGTAAAAGCCTAAAAAGGAGTAAAATTTAATTTTGTCTTTGAAAATTTAACATGTTTTAGTATTACATATCAAGCTGATTAGAAAAATTCATACCTCATGGGAAAAGTAAAAAACAAAGATTCATATACTACTCTGCAAAGTATAATCTGGAAGAAAATTATACCCTGAATAAGCATTTCAAATGTCTGCTTTTACGAAAGAGAGAATTATAATACTTGAGAATGATTTCTGTTTGACAACTATTAAAACAAGGATGTAGGAAAAGGTTTCAGTGCTTGATTATCTTCTGCCTATTAGTAAAGAATCTCTGACTATCCTAGGAAACTTCTTAAAACTGTAATGCCTATTACACTAAACTGACGTACCAAGTTATCTATAGAGAAATTGGGGTTTCCTTGATAAGCTTACTAAAGGCATCTATTTGATTAAGATGCAGTGTTTTGGCTAAAGTTGTAAGGCTGGACTATATGACCAGTGTAGGCACTTCCAGAGACAGAGTTACAGTCAGGTCCAGAAATATTGGGACATCGACACAATTCTAACATCTTTGGCTCTATACACCACCACAATGGATTTGGAATGAAACAAACACAATGTGCCTTAACGGCAGACTGTCACCTTTAATTTGAGGTTTTGTACATCCAAATCAGGTGAACGGTGTAGGAATTACAACAGTTTGCCTATGTGTCTCCCACTTGTTAAGGGACCAAAAG